TGGTTCTGTGGGCGAGTTGAGTAATAAGCCGGCTAGATTGCCGAGCATGTATAGGTCCATTCACGAGTCGTGAATGTCCTACCTCCCCCACGAGTTAGAGGTTCCATAGATACGGATGTGGCGGATGCATGAGATTGCACCGTACGCTAGGGCTTCACTACGGCAGAGTACCTGCCTCGCACAAGAAAAGAAAGCGAGTCATTGTGGCTCTAAAGAAAGCGAATCATTGCGGCTCTAAAGAAAGCGAGTCAATGTGACTCTAGAGAAAGTGAAGTAAAGCGAGTTATTGTGACTCTAAGAAACCTCCACAGAAAAAAGTATTTCTTTTTAATAGTGAGAGTGTATATGTATATCTATTTATACTTATACTAAAGCATCATGTTCATCTTATTGCATGATTAAATGATTTGCACGTGTTGCATGAAAGTGAGATAAGAAGCATGACATTATATTGTCTTCCATTCATATATGATAGCATGAGATTGCTTAGAGATTAAATGATAGCATGAGATTTCATATTGAGTATATGGTAGCACGAAATTACTTATTGAGTTATGTGATAGCGTGAGATTGCATATTGAGTATATGATAGCACGAGATTGCTTATTCAGTTATATGATAGGATGAGAGTGCTTATTGAATACATGATAGCATGAGATTACTTATTGAGTTATGCGATAGCATGAGATTGCTTTTTGAGTATATGATAGTATGAGATTGCTTATTGTGTTATGTGATAGCATGAGATTGCTTATTTAGTTATATGATAGCATGAGATTGCTTAATGTGATGTATTATAGCATGATATTGTTCATTGAGATATATGATGATATGAGATTTTTGTTGAGATATATGTTAGCATGAGATTGCTTGTTAAAGCTTAAGTATATTATTAACTATCAAGTTGAGTATGATTAGTGTATATCGCCATGATAAGATAAGTATGTGCATGCAGGAGATTGTTGATAAGCTAAGTAATTGAGAAAGCATGCATATTTGATATTTAGGTTGCAAGCATATAGAAACCCTGATGAGCATGTTTAATTGTTGCTTAAGTGATTGAGAATACTTGATTTAAGTATGTGAAGCAAATGTTTTTCAAAAGTATATACTATAGTACTTTACAAGGTTGAGTGACATTATACTTAGCTTCGTGCTAACGAGTTTGTTTTCTACTTGTTGTTTGTTAACCCCTTTCAGGTAGACCCAGTTCGTAAGAGAGTACGAGTTAGACTAGATTATCATAGATAGCTAGTTGTAGTCTAAACTCTTGACATTGGTTGTTTTTGAGATTTGTAGTTGACTTACCCTTTTTTTTTTTTATGGTGCTAGACACCGGGGTCTATTCCCCTAGTGTGTTTGATGTTAGTAAGACTTGAATGATTTAGTTTGTTTAACCTTTGCCTGTGCAATCACCATGAAGGGTGAATGTGGCGGTGACACCTCTATTAAGTTTGTTTGGTAAGTTTATTCCGCTGGCTTAGTTTATCTTTCAAGGTTAAGTCTATTAATAATGTTTAAGAAAAGTGGGGTGTTACAAGTTGGTATCAGAGCGGTACGAACCGCGGGAATTTAGGAAGTTTGACCCATAGGATTGAGTATAGAAACTCTAAGTGAAAGTCCTAGTAGGGACAAGTTAAGAAGAGAACTTTAAGTGAAATCCTAGGAAGGATAAGATAAGGAAAGAAATCTAAGATATGAGATTTGAGATGAGAAAGACTCTAAGTTCAGTGACTAAGTATGAGAATCAGAGTTAAGAAAAACTCTAAGTATCAGTTAGGAACGCGGTGAGGTTGTGAGTTTCCTTACGCTTGTTTAATTGTTTATGTGCTCTATCAATGTGTTTAAAGTGCAACTTGCTTGTCTTTTGAAAGTAAAGTAGAGAAGTTAAAAGTGAGAAATTGAAAGTGAAAAACCAAGAGTTTGAAAGTTGAAAGTAGAAGTGAAAGTTGAAAGTGAAAAGCTAAGAAAGCTAGAAGTTGAGACTTTGAAAGTTAAAATTTGAAAGCAAAGTTTTGAGAAAGTTGTTAAAAGTTATAATAAGTATATGAGCTTATACTTATGTTTGTTTGTGTGCTTTACTTGTTGTGAGCCTTACCTTAAGAAAAGAAAAGTTAAAAGTTGAAAGTTAGAAGTTAAAAGTTAGAAGTTGAAAGTTCAAAGTAGAAAGTTGTGTGACAAGTATAAGAGTTATTCTTGCATCCTGTTTGGGTGCTTTTGTTGCGCGTAAAGAGATAGAATGAGACAAACGTTAGTGATTAAGTGTTGTCCATGTAGTATCGTAATGGAGCCAAGATGGAACGTTTGGATTTAGAGCATTCATGGAATGGACCTTCCTGCCCTCGGGGCACATCCGATTCAAGAAAGCACGCGAAGCCAAGACAAGAAAAAAACTAAGGAAGACGCGAAACAAGTAGAGAAGAAGTCAAAACTTAGCCATCATGATCAAGTCAAGAGTTCTCAAGGAAACTATGGCACGGTGGACGGGAAAGATCGCCCAAGTCAAGGCACAAGTGTAGTAAGGAAGAATAAGAATAGAAGAAGACACTACTATTGCAAGAAATGCAGGAAGGATCACCCAAGAACCAACTGTAGAGGGGACCCGATCAGGTGCTTCAAGTATGGAAAGGTTGGGCACCGAGCCTTTGAATGCTACGCAAATAAAAAAAGGAATGCCTTAAGTCAAGGACCTAACGAGAGTGGACGTCAGCTGAAGAAAAGATCTTACAGTAACCAGTCTGGAAACATGAATGACAAGGGTGGAAAAAAGGACAACCACGACGGTACAAGAACAATGGGAAGTAGAAAGAAAAATCAAGACCAAAGTAGTGGTAGTGGTAATCAGCTGATGTGGGGAGCTCAAGTGAAGGTTAACGGCGTGGAGATATGTACACTCCTAATGAACACCATACCTGTTTAAGTAACATAGTTGATTTTGGAATTTCAACTTTCTGTGACTTTTATGCCCTTGGATTGATAGTGAAGAGACCTTTAAAGGTTAAACTCAAAGAATAAAAGTTGAACTAGAAACATAGAGAATTGAAACTTAAGATTGGGTTACTCAAAAGTAAGACAATTCCTTCTATCTTTAAGGAGATAAGGAAGAGATGAGCTAAGAGTTGTGAACTCCGAAGGAGTGAAGTTTAAGATGATGACAAACTTAAGATTGGGTTACTCAAAAGTAAGACAATTCCTTCTATCTTTAAGGAGATAAGGAAGAGATGAGCTAAGAGTTGTGAACTCCGAAGGAGAGAAGTTTAAGATGATGACTAATTACATCAGACCATGAGATGTGAGAGTATAGGAAGAATGTTGTACATAAGTCATAAGATCCTATGAAGTGTGAAGAAACTAAGGAATGGATTAAGTAAGAAGGAGCAAGTAAAAGAATGTAGATTTATGGATATGTGAGAACTTAAGGAAGAATTACAGTAATGAGAATGAAACAAGAGGTAGTTGAATTCATGATAGAATGATGGAATGATTAAAGACTTAGACTGGTAGAAGTAAACTTAAAGGATTAGTTCAATCGTTGAACTTCTTGAATAAGAATGAGAATTTGCATAGAAGAATTTTGAAGGGATGTATCGTTGGTTGAGGGGAGAAAGAAAATATTGCCAAGAATTTCGTTTGAAAAGAAGTGGTAAAGATTAGTAAGAAGGGAGAAACCAAAGTCGAAGTTTATTGAAACATAAGAAATCTTGGAAAAGATTTGAGAAAAAGAGAGACTTGTAGGTTGGCAATGCCAACTAGAGTGGGCAAGTACTTAAAGTGTAGTGAAGGAGTATGAACGTAATTATCGTGTGTGAATCCTCTTGAAGTAGAGAAAGTAAACAAGACTAATAAGAAGTAAGCAACAAATTGGTAAAGTAGCAAGGATAGTTAAGACCTTATGCTAATGGAAGCACGACACAGTATCATGAATCACTTGAAGAGTGAAGTAAATGACAATTTGTATTATCAAGAATCTTTGGAAAAGTACTTGTTAATCGCATAATCGGTTAAGTTAAGTTCACGAAAATAGTAAGAAAATCATAAAAGGAATACACCAGTTCTGATTGAAAGAAAGTTACTACGGTTAACTTATAGTAATGGTATGGGGATCAGAATAGGTAATGGTAAAGCAAACCAAATCTGGAATTGACCTTGGTTATTGGATAATAACCAACCTTTTATCAACGCAATCCCTCCCCCACCCCCCACCCACCCACCCACCCACCATGCAAATGATTGGGATGTAGCTTATCTTATAAATATGGATGGTATTAACTGGAATGAAGAGCTTATTCACAGGAACTTTGATGATTTTGATGCAAGCCGTATTCTACATTTCATCTCTATTGGGTATGAGCTTGTCTAAACAACTGAATAACCCATGCTTGATCTCTGGATGTGTAGAAAAATCAGGAGAATAATGGCAACGGGGATTTAGATAGTAGGCAGCTGCATGCAAATGTTGGTGCATCTGAAAATCTCATTTTCATCAATGATATCTCATATCTCCTTGTAATCTTTTTTCTTCTCCACCCAAATTCTTTGCTATCTTTTTTCTTCTCCACCCAAATTCTTTGCTATCTTTTCTTTGGCTTCATCCATAGCATTATAAAGAAAACTCACAGCAGACTCTTTTTCTCCATCAACTAGAATCAACACTTCAACAAAAGATTTTGTAGTCTTGATAGCATAAATCAAAATAGGGCAAAAGTTGTTATCCTTCATAATTATTTTTCGAACTTCTTTCCCATCAACTTTTCTTGCATAATTATTCTTTGTCCACTTTTCAGAAGTGAACATAGCTTCCAATGGTTGCCTCACCTGATAAATACTTTGCAACGTCAAATATGCAGTGGCGAATCTAATGGTTGTTGGCCTAATAAGCTCTCTATTACTGAATTGCCACATCAAGCTCAAAATCCAAGAATGATTATAAATGTAGTTGCTCACTTTCTTTGCATTGATCAAAGCATTTATGTGTTGTGGTAGCTCTCTAATTTTCTCTAGCATTATATCAAGGCAATGTGCAACACATAGAGTCCAGTATCAATGCTTTCTTTTCTCCATAACCATTAACCCCGCTACCCGGTAGTTGCTTGCATTATCCGTTATCACTTGAACCACAATTTCTTCTCCAACTTCATCAAGCAACCGAAACAACAATTTAGCCTCTTTGACATGCTTGGATGCATCAACACATTTCAAAAAAATTGTGCCACTAAGATTATTGACAAGGAAATTAATTAGACTCCTATGTCTAATATCTTGCCAACCATCAGACATGATTGAAACTCTAGTAAATGGCCATGTACTCTTAATGTCCTTAACAAATCTTTATGTTGTTTTCAATTCTTCCTTCAAAATCCATGTCCTAAGCCCGTATATGCTGGGAGGCTTAAGTCCCCGACCATATGCACAACCCGACCGAAGCATGTTAACAAACGAAGGACTCCTTGCCACATTAAAAGGTATTGCATCTTCATAAAAAAAAAAATCCTCAGTATCTAAATAGACTTGTTGGCGTAGTTCTTTTGCATTTTGAGGTGCAATAGTGGTTGGTTGGTCACCACTGTAACACCCCCTTAAAAGACATGCTATTTAAAAGCCTTAAACATGCAGATAACTGAACTAAACAACAAACACAGCGGAAGACTGAAAGATAGATAGACGTAATCTGGAACACGGGGTGTTATGCCACGTTCACTAAAAGGATGAACACACCGGCAACATTTGCAATGTTTACATCTAAACCCATTGTCTCAAAGTTCTACATCTAAGCTGGCACACAGGCCAAAAAACGAAAGGGAGAAGCTATACTAGCAAGCACTAGACCGCGCACTCGTCTAGACATCACCTGAAAGAACACAATAAAACATGGGACGACGCCCGGTCAGCGAATAATGCTGGTAACCCACCAATACATGTGAAATATCATACATAGATAAGATATAAGTTTGTAAAGCCATTTTCGAAACGGAATACATATATATAAGTACAAAACCAAGAGTAATAGTCAACACAAGACTCACGCTCTCAACAAGAACACGGGAACACATCCCAAGACCACAAAGGACAACAACAACTCAAAAGGATAAAGACAAGACCAACAACAACACATGCCTTTTGACTACACGCGTCACAAGAAGAGAACTCACAACAACGGCTACACAAGCCCTCGTGACATCACCCATCACGAGTTGATATGCCTTCCTTATGCCCGGTTCCAACCTTATGGCTACCCCCAACCTTATTTCTAGTTCCAACCTTTTACCTCCAGGACCCCTGTACACCAAGTCCAACCTTATTCCTCCGGGAACCGTCGTTCCCCCTCCAACAGTCCCTCCAACAAAACCACCAATTTCATAGTACACGAGGGTACCGATCACACATGGCAACACATGCCCTGGATAACACATGTTATCCCAGAAATAAACACGTTGAAAATTTGTAAAGCGCAGCACACAGTGATGTTGAAACTGACGTTGTAACACAAATGATCTGTAACGCAGTTCGGGCAAACAACTCTAATCTGCGAGGCACTTCTCAATTTGAGAACTTGCCTAAATCCACTAAAAGCTCAATATTTAAAGTACACTGTTTGGAACCTGAGATTACACAATAGAATGATCTTTCCTACCAAACTATTGAAACCTAAACACATGTACTACTTTCTAGGGGAATTTAGTATCCTATTCTCAAAGACTCTCGTACCTCACAATTAGATGTTGAATGCTTGAGGTCTACAATAAAGGACATCCCCTATTTATAGTAGCTATTCCTAACAGATTCGTGAATAACAAACTATTCCTAATCAAAATAGAACTAGAAAATCTTCAACAACAAATCCCCTTAGAACTAGTATTCTTCAATAACTATTCCTCTTAGTACTGATATTCCTTTATAGAACTGGAATTCTTTTTACACATAACTTTGACAAAATACTTTGAGTCAACATTCTCCCCCTTTGTCAAATTTTTGGCAAACACCTTGGTCTCTGTCTTTCTCCTCCTTAGTTGATGCCACAGTGGTGTTTGATTGATGGTAGATTAATGACAGGTTAGATCACTATCCCATGTGTAGCTTTTATCAGATGATCTTTTCCCCATCATAACACATTCATGTTTTTGGTTGTAGACTTTACAATTCTCTTTGGAAAATTCTACTTTGAGTTCATCATCACACAGTTGACTTATATTGATAAGGTTTGCTTTGAGTCCTTGTACCAAAAAGACGCTTGGTAATCTGGGCAGTCCATGGACATTCAAGGTACCACTTGCGATAATCTGTCCTTTTCCTCCATCTCCAAAAGTGACATGCCCTTCATTTTTGTACTGGATATTCTCAAGATAATGTGGATTTCCTGTCATATGTCTTGAACATCCGCTGTCAAAATACCAAACACTTTGTTCTTGGCTTGTTTCTGAGGTATACGCAACAGCTTGTGTTTGATCCTTTCTTACCCATACTTTCTTGCTGTTATTTTTGCTTTGTACTGTCCAATCTCTGTTGTTTTGTCTGTCATAGAGATCATTTTGTCTTTTGAAGCAGTATGCCTTTATGTGTCCCAATTTGTGGCAGTAATAACATCTGATTCTCCTTCGGTGTTGAAAGTGATGTTGTGACACCTCAGGATTTTTAGAAGAGTGGCTTTCACTGGACGTTGGATTTGGAGATCTAGGCCTTCCATCTAGTGCCTTGATTTCTTGTAGCAGTTTGGCCTCTCTGTTTTTAGATTCTAATAATTCATTTTGAGTTTCTTTGAGGCGCTTTTCTTCTCTATCTTTTTCACCTTTTAGAAACTGATTTTCTTGCATGAGCTCTAGATTCACTTTGATGATTTGTTCCCATTTAGCATACAATTGGGTATATGACTCTAGCAGTTCTTGCATATCATTTTCGTTTTCGTTGTCATTCTCATGATTTGCGGTGAATGCTACGAAATTAGTGTTGGTGTCTTCTTCACTATCTGAGTCATCGCTTAGTGTTGCCACATATGTTTTGTTCTTCCTTTTAAAATATGTTGGACATTCTGACTGGATGTGTCCAAACCCTTTGCACTCATAGCACTGAATTCCTTCAGGTTTTAGACTCTCCCTTCCTTTTGAAATAGATTGATTTTGTCCAGTTGGGAAGTTCCCTTGATTGATTGAAGCACTTTTGCTTCTAAATTTGTTGAATTTTTTGAGAACTCTGTTGAAATTCTTTGTTAGGAGAGCAATTGATTGTTCCATGGTTTCAGTATCAATTTCTGGACTCTCTTTCTGCTTTGATTGGAGCGCAATTCCTTTGTCATTATTTTTCCCTTTTTGCAATATCTCAAGCTCATATGTTTGAAGATTTCCCATTAGATCACTGAGTTTGTAGGTGTTTAGATCTTTGTTTTCTTGGATGGCTGTAACCTTTATCATAAATCTCTCAGGTAAGGAACGTAGGACCTTTTTGACGAGCCTAGGTTCAGGAATAGGTTCGCCTAGGTTAAACGCATCTCCAGCAATCCCTAAAACTCTTGCACTAAACTGTGAGATATCCTCATCTTCTTCCATTTTTAAATTCTCAAACTGTGTTTGTATCATTTGCAGCTTGGATTGCTTAACAGAAGTATTTCCTTCGTGATGATCACATAGTATATCCCATGCAATTTTAGCTATGCCAGTGGTAGCGATTAGTTTGAAAGTATCTTCACTTACCGCTCCATATATGGCATTCATTGCTTTTGAATTGTAATTATATTCTCTTCGCTCTTCTTCATTCCATTCTGCTTTAGGTTTTTGATTACCTTTATCATCAACTGGATTCTTCCATTCTTTCTCAACGGCTTCCCAAACTCCTTCTCCTTGTGCCAAAATATAGATTTTCATTCTAGCTTTCCAGTAGGAGAAATTTGTACCAAAGAGAGCAGGGGGCCTGGTGCTTGACAGTCCTTCTCTGGGAAACTCCATTAGGATCCTGCTAATAATTTAAGCAGTTTGGCTCTGATACCAATTGAAAATTTGTAAAGCGCAGCACACAGTGATGTTGAAACTGACGTTGTAACACAAATGATCTGTAACGCAGTTCAGGCAAACAACCCTAATCTGCGAGGCACTTCTCAATTTGAGAACTTGCCTAAATCCACTAAAAGCTCAATATTTAAAGTACACTGTTTGGAACCTGAGATTACACAATAGAATGATCTTTCCTACCAAACTATTGAAACCTAAACACATGTACTACTTTCTAGGGGAATTTAGTATCCTATTCTCAAAGACTCTCGTACCTCACAATTAGATGTTGAATGCTTGAGGTCTACAATAAAGGACATCCCCTATTTATAGTAGCTATTCCTAACAGATTCGTGAATAACAAACTATTCCTAATCAAAATAGAACTAGAAAATCTTCAACAACAAATCCCCTTAGAACTAGTATTCTTCAATAACTATTCCTCTTAGTACTGATATTCCTTTATAGAACTGGAATTCTTTTTGCACATAACTTTGACAAAATACTTTGAGTCAACACACGTGAACCTTACACAAAGGCCACAAACTCCATAATCGCGTCACGGCCACCACGAGGACCACTAAAATACCTTGGTGACTAGTGTCTCATACCACTAATCGTGCAATCCAGGTAAAGCCACACACAAATCACACCACAACAGGAATCAATCAACGGATCACAACGAAGATATGAAACCACACTCAATCAAGGAGTGGATCACAGTCCAACAACAACAACGATGAATAACACAACTTATCATCAACCAATCGGAAGGTACAAACAACACACACACTAGCATTTAAACACCGAACTAGCATGCTCATCAAACGGGTAAACCAAAGGTAGTTCCGAAGAACACACAAGACTCATCACGGTTCAACGAAACACAATGTTGAACACTTAGCACGATTCAAGACACCAAAACCTACATGGATTCCTACCACATAGTTCTAGACATACGAAACATCAAGAAGACACTCAAATAGTTCCACAAAAGAACATCGGGAAGTCAAAAGACCAAATACCGAGTCAAAAGAATCACGGGGAACAAATCCCCGCCATCATCAAAACATGTACCCGTAGGTAGGCCCACGGGTAGGCCCCTACCCGTGGTTCCACCCGCGGGTACAGGCCTCCATTTCCTTTGTACCCCGCGGGTGGGCGGCGGGTTGGACCCCTACCCGCTGTTCCCCCCGCGGGTACACGTCTGTACCCAATGTTGAAAAAATCGCTAGGCGCCCTCTAGGCGCCTGGGGACTGCCTAAGGCGCCTAGAGCGCCTAGGCGGGCGCCTAGAATGCCTAGGCGGGCGCCTAGAGCGCCTAGCCGGGCGCCTAGGCCGCCTAGGAGGTCAGGCGCCTAGCGCCGATTAATCGGCACCTAGGCGCGATTTTTGCAACAGTGCCTGTACCAAAACAATCCCTTCGGGGATTTTCATCTCCAAACTCAAATTCAAGTCCAAAACATGCCAAATCTCACCAAATACAACAAAGTGACTTGAATCAAAGGAATAGCCAAGCAATGGCATACAAGAACCCTAAACACAAGCTCTAGATATGCATTTTCACAAGACAATGCATAGACACTCACATTTCATAGCAAAATCACGTGTAGAATCCAATAAATCACATATAGGTAGGCAAAATAGATTTTGTAGAGCATGGGTTACCTCTTGTAGACTAAAGGCTTCACTTTACACCTCAACAAGCTCCTCTCAAGGCTCACTTTCCAAACCCACTTCAAGAACATACCAAAAGATGATAATGATCCTATCTTTAAGAAAAGACACCTAAGATAAAACTAAAAACACAAGATGAACTTAGATCTTACCCTCCTAGATGTCCAAATATATGAAAGGTTGAATCTTGGAAGCAACTCTTGAAGTTTTGGCAAGGCTCCAACTTGGCTTGGAAGAAAAGCTATCTACCTTTTTAGAGAGAAGGTGCAGCTAGATTTTTAGAAAGTGTAAGGAAAGAATGAAGGTGGTCTACTAGGTTAGGTTACAATACTAACACCAAGTGAAAGGTCAAGAATACCCTTACTAACATAAAGAAATATAAGGGAACAAGGGAACTCTCTATAAAGCTTAAGGTACAACTTTGACTTTGGGGTTAACTAGTCAATTACTAGTCCCCGACTATTGAATTTTCAGGATTTTTAGGAATTAAACCATCAATTGAAATAGGATTAATTACTTAATTAATCCCTAAGTTGAATTTGGATTTCGGGGTGTCAAAGCCACTAGCATTTCCTTTTGCATATATCTATCCATAGACCCCTAAATACCTCTATTAGAAATAGAACCATCGGAAGCCACATTGTCTCCATCCTCGCCTTCCTTCCCACTTCCAAAGAGTGAGCAAACTTCCACACATTGCTCAAAACTACATATGTGCTAAATTCTTTTTTGGCGGTAACTTTGTTTAAATAATCAAGAAATTCTTGCTTAACTACTTCCGGTACATTAGCACATGATTTAACATTGTTTCTTGTCATGACAAGATGATGTTTCATCCTTGACACTTCCCATTTAATTTGATAACTTTCTCACAATAATTATATGTGACATATTTATATGGCTTCTTTTCTTGACCTTCATGGACTAATTCAATACAATGGTTCCAAGCCGGATCTTTTTTATTTTTCGCACCCGTAATCGCCCCAAGATTTCATGAACCACTATCCGCACTACTATTCTTTGAATGATTCACCATTCTTATAAACAATCAACCTACAAATACTTAATAATATTCAAACAAATTAATATTAAAAAAATTCCATACTGCCACAGACACTCACTACCTACTGCCAAGTGGCAGTGTGGGCAATGTGGCACACTATATATATATATATATATATATATATATATATATATATATATATATATATATATATACATATATACACACACACACACGCACATATACACTCTGTAACAGCAGGCTAACAACATACATACAAAAAGAATTACAAAATGAACAAAAGAAGTAAGAAAACAAGGCCTTACCTGAGGTCGTCGGAGGGTGGAGGTTGTCGGAGAGTGGAAATCGCGTCGCAACTTGCAAGCTTCTCGCGCAGCTCACAGCAGGAGGATCACTGGGTTCACTTCTTATTTTCAGACTTCTTCTAATATTTTTAATCAAATTAGGGTTGGGTATATTTCCTATTGGAGTTGGGTCTTTTTTATTGGCCTTTAAAAAATAATTTGGGCTCTAAAAAAATGTTTGGGCTAACCTATTCACCTCAGACGGTTGAGGCGTGTACGCCTCTAATCTTGCGTAAGAGGCGTACGCCTCATTGCTATATGCATGCGCCTCACACTTAGTCACGTCTCAGAAGCGCCTTTTTAAACCTTGATTCCATTTACCAACAATATCTTTTTACAATAATATCTCTCTCAAATGAAATTGTTGAATTGTTGTGACAATTCATTCACTTCTTCCCTTAACTCATTAATTGGATCATTCATAGTAATTCAATCACCTCTGTCTAATGTGAATTCAAGGTCGTTCCAACAAAAAATGGGGTCCTGTGCAATATCTTAAATTGGCCCCCTGTTTTTTTAAAAAATAATTTGTATATATAAATAATAGTTGTTCAAAAAGTTGTGTCGAAAATTCAAAATATAAATATTGTATAAAAATAAATCTAAAATTTCATTTAAAAAGTGACATGCGTCGTGCACATTTAGATGCAAAATCACCCACCAAACTTCTCACTTGTTCCACGAAATGCCAAGTTATATTTGAAAGATACTTCACAGCTGCAATTATCCTAAATAGTACTTTCCTCCCATATGTTTTTTCTTTCAAAAGTTGTTCTTGAGCCACTTTATCAATTGTCTCATGTTTTTGTAATCTAAGACGTAACTTCATCCAAGTTGTCATATTAGTCATGATCTACACTCGTTTCATGCTCTTTAAATCTAACACCAAGATGTGTCCAGTCCCTAAAACCTTCATTGACCAAAACACCTTTTCCTAGAGAATTTATCTTTAGGGCCTCTATTTATTGATAAATCTCTTTTAGGACCATCTTTCACATGAATATCTATTAATTTAGTATCAAGGACATCTCAATTTCTTGGATCATATATGTCAAATAAAAACAAATGATTTAGATTATCATTGTGACCAACATCATCTAAACAACTATCAACATTTTTATTATTCATTGTCACAGTGATACATATCATCATTGTGTACACTATTATTTAAATTTTTTCCAATCTCACAATCATCTTGATCTTCTATATGAAGATTAGTATCTAACGATTTTTCCTTGGCATCATCTTTTTGCACATCTATTTGAGTTTCTTTTGTAATGAATTTTTCAAGAGTTCCCTTTTGAGATTGAGTTAGTTGCTCAATTCTTCTTTTCTTTTTACGCTTCTCAAACCCAAATGAATATTTTCTAGACGACATAATTATAAAATCCTAAAATGAAATTACTGTGTGTATTAAATGAAATAAATGATCCACACAACTATTGAACTCTGGTTGCTTCTATCTATTGATTGATCCATGGTCGGAAAAACTCTGAGAATACACTCGATAAAACAAATATGGGAGAGACTGAGAAGAAAAACAAAGATTAGATAAGTTGATGAGAAGATCGCAATGAAGATGAGAAAAGCTACTACATATACCTTATTGGAATTTGTCGTGTTCGGCGTAGTCCTTCTGTAATCATTTCGTGGGGTAATGTTATTGGGCCCAGTTATATTCTTATACCATGGACCAATGTCCATCTTACATTGTGAAAAATTGTGTAATTAATATATTATGTGTCTTCAGTTAATAAATTGTGCCTCTTGTAAATAAATTAAAGACACATAATTTGTTAATTACAAGCAAATATTATGTGTCTATAATTATCGTATTATGTTCATTCAATTTATTTACAAGCACATAATATGTTAACTGTAAACACATAATAAATTAATTACAACAAATAATCTGAATGCCGATAGTGCAAAGTAGATCATGGTCCATGGTATAATTTGCCAATTAGATCTATCTTGCCTCCTTTCTGATTACATCCCCTCCGATAAAGATGAGCCAAGAGTTGGTGATATTTTTGGACGACCGGGGACCATAACCCCACAATAACATATGATTTTTAATATATAATTAAAGAAATTATTTTATAACATTCTTCTTCATATATTACTATTTGAATAAATATTGCAAGTTAAAATTTAGTGAATGTATTGGATTTAAAGTTGATCAGAAATAAATCTGCGAACGGGAATAAGTCTGCCGGCATTCGACTCTCTCGTTCCCTCAGACAGAAGGTATGCACATGACCCATCATGCCACAGAATGTGCAATATTTGTGTAGCCGTTCATACCGAAAGGTCACCCAACTTATCGACTTGTCTCTTTTAACCAACTTCATACGTCGTCGCAGCGGCTTATCAACCGCAATAGCTACCTGTATTCTATAGAAGGTTAACCACGGGGCTCCCGCAAACCTCTCATCATGCTTCACAAACGAACCCAGAAAGTTACCAGCCTGCTCTAGCACTGTATTAGTCGTGTACCCCAATGGTAACTCATGCAATTGGACCCACATATCAACCGTGTTCAATACCACCTCCCTCGGTACAGCGCCCTCCACCACCTCCCGGCGCACCAGTGTGTTATTCTCAAAAGCCTAAGGCCCCCCATCTAGAACGTATTCCACGTCCGTTTTGTGGTAAAAGACAAACAGAAATAGCTCTGGTTGCACCTCTGTTACCTGTACTCCTCTCGCAGGTTGCCACACGGAATCCATGACTTGTCTCATGAACTCCAGTTTAACCTGCTTGGTCATGAGAAACCTGCCCACCACCGCCCAGGTCTCCTCCCCACCATCATTCAGCTCGCCGACGCCCTCCCCTTCCGGCGCAAACTCCACGCCCTCATCATCCAGGGTAAAATCTGCCCATCTCTCTGTCAAACCCTCCACAACCTCCGTCATTGTCATTGTTGTCATGTTGCTCACAAACCAGAGGGAAGCACGCTGTCGTGGTAAGAAAAATCGGTGGAAACCACTGTAGAAACTATCGGAAACACCGGAAACCCTAGCTGAAACCTAGAGAAGGAGGCAGAACCCTAGTCGTGCTAGGGAAAGATTATTGAGGATAGTTTGCGTGTTGGAGGAAACCGGGGAGCGCCGAGGGCGGTAGGAGAGAGTTGGTTTGTGCCAGTTGGGGAGGATAGCTTGAGTGGTGGTCGGCCGGGTGTAGCGTCGGAAGGTCCGGAAAAGAGAGGAGGGCGGGGTGGCAGTCCAGTTAGCATGGTGGAGTCGGGGGAGGAGGCTGTGGTGGCTAATTCGAAGCGTCGCCGGCAGGCCTCGGGGAAAGGATTGGGACTGGACTTGGGAGATGTGCCTATGACTGATATGTCAAAAAACTTGTGTATGGCGGGAACTGGTTCTTAGTCCCGCCCGTCATCATGAGTACATTAAGCTGGAATTATCGTGGCTTGGGCAATCCACGAACAGTTCGAGAGGTTGTAGGCCTTGTGTCTAGTAAGAAGCCAAATTTTGTATTTTTAATGGAAACAAAGGTGGGGTGGGAGCATGAAGAGAGGCTCCGCGTAAGGATTGGGTATGAAGGTTTGTTCTATGTTGATAATGCCGGTTTGAGTGGGGAATTGGCTTTGTTTTGGAGGAAAAATAATGTAGCTAGTCTCCTCAGTTTTTCCAAGAACCATGTCGACGTAGAGGCGAGAATGAAGACTGATAAGGTGTGGCATATGACGTGTTTCTATGGCTTTCCAGAACGGAGTCGTAGAAGGGACTCGTGGGAGTTACTCGGGACATTGAGTGGTAAGTCCCCGCTTCCTTGGGTTATAATTGGAGATTTCAATGATCTCCTCTTTCAGCATGAGAAAAGAGGGAATAATTCACACCCAGTGAGTCTCCTTCGCGGGTTTGGGGAAGTGGTCGATAGTTGTGGTTTGGTGCATTTGCCCATGAGTGGATATTAGTATACATGGGAGAAAGATAGTGGTACAGATCACTGGGTGGAAGAGAGGCTTGATAAGGTATTGGCATCGGTAGACTGGTGTGGTGTGAATGAGGGTGCCGGGGTGGAGAACATTCTTACTCGAACATCGGATCACTCGACTCTCTTGCTCAATGCTAATGCAAAGAATATGCAGAGGGGTAGGGTCCCGAAAAGCTTCAGGTTCGAGATGGAGTGGCTCCTAAATGAAGGGTGTAGGGATGTGGTTGAGACTGCCTGGCACGAAGGGAGGACTAAGGGGTTGCTGAATTGTCAGCAACAATGAGGGGACAGGTTGATGCGGTAGGGTGGTGAGCATTTTCATAAGTTTGGTGACCGCATTCAACGGCTACGAAAGGAGCAAGGTTTGATCAGGGATAGAAGGGATCCGGCTGCCTTGGCCGAGTTCCAACGATTGAATGATCAGATCTCTCAGCTGGAGGCCTAAGAGGATGTATTTTGGAGATAACGAGCGAAGCAGCACTGGCTCCGTGGAGTAGATGCAAACACGAAATTCTACCACAGGTATGCCTCTGCTCGTAAGAAGAAGAATTTTGTTGCTAAACTTAAGAATGATGATGGGGTGTGGGTTGAGGGGGAAGTTATGAATGCTGTTATCTTGAAATACTTTAGTACGATTTTTGCCACTGGTAATTCTGTGTGTGAGGATCTTTATTTGATGATTTTGCCCCTCGAGTATCGCATGATCAAAATGTTGCTTTGTTGCGTCCCTATGATTTTGATGAGGTTAAGTCTACGGTCTTTTCCATGTTTCTTGATAAGGCACCTGGCCTGGATGGAATGAATCCAGGCTTTTACCAGCATTTTTGGGGTGTGGTGGGGGAGGATGTGTCTGTTTTTTTTTTTTTTTTTTTATCAATTGTCTGAATTCGGACGAGTTTCCCGTTGGTTTGAATGATACCAATATTATCTTAATCCCGAAGAAAAATGAGCCTGAGACCGTGGCAGATATGAGGCATATTGCCCTAGGGAATGTTCTGTATAGGGTCATGGCCAAGATGATTGCTAATAGGATGAAACCGCTTATGGGGGACTTAATCTCGGAATCCCAGAGTGCGTTTATTCCTGGCAGGCTAATTACAGATAATATTTTAATTGTAGCAGAGGTGGGGCACTTCTTGAACAGGAAGCAGTGTGGTTTGATAGGTTTGGGGGCTCTTAAGTTGGATATGGCAAAAGCCTATGACAGAATGAAATGGCCATTCCTGAAAAGAATGCTTGAGGTACTGGGGTTTGATAGGCGGTGGATTGAGCTGATTATGACATGTGTAACTACGGCCTCTTACAATGTGATGGTGAATAGCGTCAGTGGTGGGCGGATAGAACCCACCAGGGGACTCAGACAAGGGGATCCTCTTTCCCCCTATTTGTTTATTATTTGTGCTGAGGCTCTATCCATGTTATTGTAGAAATCTCAGATGGCTGGATCTATTCATGGTTGTAGAGTGGCGATGGGGGCCCCTCCTATCTCACATCTTTTCTTTGCAGATGACAACCTATTATTCTTTAAAGCGAATGCCCAGGAGGTAGGGGTGAGCAAAATGTCGGTTAACCGACCGAAAACCGCTAACCGCTAACCGAACCGCCCGAAAAAAGCGGTTATCGGTCGGTTACGGTTATTACATTTAAAATTTTTTCGGTTTTTCGGGTTTTCGGTTATCTAACGGTTATTCGATGTCGGTTATCGGTCGGTGACCGATAACCGATATATAATATTTATAGCCCATAATCCATTGTTATTCACTTATTTGTTAAGCTCAGCCCAAAGCCCACAACCGAATAGCCCAAGAAAACCCTAAGGTGAGAAAACCCCACTCCCACACTCAGACACTCAGACATCAGACATGAGACATCTCACATCACTCTCCGCCTCTCGCTCTCCGCTCTCCACAGTCGGCTCTCGTCTCTTCACTTTCGTAGTTTCGTCTTCCACAAACCAGTGAACCACAGTCCACAGATCAGAGAGGCGTTCCACTCCATCCATTCCACGGTTCCAGACTTCCAGTGTTCCACTCCGACTTCTTTACACAATTACACGTTCCACTCCGAGTCTCCGACGCTACACCGACGCTAGTCCGTCACACTTACACAACTCCGACGCTACACCGCCAGACGTGAGACGCCAGTCCGTCACACTCCGCCACCGGCCACACTACTCTAAAAAAAAGGTAATTTTTTTAATTTTTGTTTTTAAGTTTTTTTTACTGTTAATTAAATCTAGGGTTGGGGTGAGTACTGATTTGTATTTTAAAGTTTTGGGGTGAGTACTTGCTTGTGATGTACATACTTTAGGTTTTTTTTACTGTTAATTAAATCTAGGGTTGGGGTGAGTACTGATTTGTATTTTAAAGTTTTTTTTACTGTTAATTAAACTTCATACTTTAATTAAGTGTTTAAGTGTTTAAACTGCATACTTTAAATTTTTTGTTTAAACATGTACTTAAATTTTAAACATGTACTTAAATTTTTGTTTAAACATGTACTGTTAACATGTATTAAGTGTTTAAACTGCATACTTTAAAATTTTTTTTACATAAACTGCATACTGTTAAATTTTGTTACATAATTGAAAGTATGTTAAATGTTAACAGTGTGTACTGTTATTCTGTTAAGTGTTAAGTACTTAAATGTGTTAAATGTTGAATGTTAACATAACTTAGTAATTTACAGTGTGTTAATTGTTAAATGTTAACATGTAAAATTTATTAATTGTAGATGTCAACACAATCAATTGAGATGCATGAACAGCATGATTCTGAAGATGAAGCAATTGAAATGGAAGGGGTTAGCCTTGATGCAAATGCAAGTACTAAAACAGCCGGTGCATCTAAGTCAAAGAAACGAAAAATTAGCCGGGCAAAATCTGAGGTATGGGAGCATTTTACCAAATTTGATAATGAAGCACATCAAAAAAAAGCTAGGTGTAATTATTGTGCAAAAGAACTTTTTGCTGACCCCAAATTGAATGGCACAAGCTCATTAAAAGCTCACATTAGAAGCTGCCCAAAATGTCCCCATAATAATATCGACCCTACTCAAACTGAACTAATTGTCCCATCATCAGAAGGGGAGTCTTTAAGTTATGGGAAGTTTGATGCAACGGCAATTAGAAGGTCTGTGGCTGAAATGATCATAATTGATGAATTGCCTTTTAGGTTTGTGGAAGCAAAAGGGTTTAAAAAATGCATGTTTACTGCTTGTCCTAGGTTTCGTATGCCATCTAGATGGACTGTTGCTAGAGATTGTTACAAAATTTATTTGGAAGAAAAGAACAATATGTCCAACTTTTTGAAATCTTCTTGTGATAGAGTTTCTCTTACGACTGATAGTTGGACATCATTGCAAAGAGTGAATTACATGTGTCTTACAATGCATTATATTGATAAGAATTGGAAATTGCACAAAAGAATAATAAATTTTTGCCCAATTTCTAGTCATAAGGGGGAAGATATTGGGAAGGCAATTGAGAAATGCTTGCGTGATTGGGGACTTGATAATGTTTTCACTATCACTGTAGACAATGCTAGTTCAAATGATGTTGCTACGGGGTATTTGAGGAAGAAGTTCAATAATTTGGGTAGTTCTATTTTAGGTGGGAAATTTCTTCACATGAGATGTGTTGCCCACATTGTTAATTTGGCTGTCAATGATGCTTTGAAAGAAAGTAATCAATCAATTTGTCGTGTTAGAGGGGCAGTGAGATATGTGAGACAATCACCATCTAGATTAGAAAAGTTTAAAGAATGTATTAAATTGGAGAAAATTCAATCCAAGGCTTTGTTATGCTTAGATGTATGCACTAGGTGGAATTCTACTTACCTTATGTTGGATTCGGCACAAAAATTTGAGAGGGCCTTTGAGAGATTTGAGGAGTTTGATCCACATTATAGTCAAGACCTCCGAAATAATGAAGGAATTCCGGACCATGATGATTGGGAAAATGTTAGGAGGTTGTGCATGTTTTTGGGACACTTCTATGATCTTACTGTGAAAGTTTCTGGCTCATTGTATGTTACTTCAAATGCGTATTTTCCTGAAATTTGTGAAGTGTATTCTATTTTGCGTGATTGGATAAAGAGTAAGGATCCAAAATTTAGTTCAATGGCACAAAGAATGAAGGATAAATTTGACAAGTATTGGGGAAATGTGGACAAAATGAATATGTTGTTGTATGTTGCAACTGTGCTTGACCCTAGGAGAAAGTATGTCTATGCTGATTTTTGTTTCAAAAGGATGTATGAAGATGATGAAGCCTCTAAATTGTCTAAAAATCTTAGAGAAGTTATGACAGATTTGTTTAATGAATACAAGAGGTTGCATGAATCTTCTTCATCTTCACTAAATGAGACTTTTCAATCAAGTGAGCTTGTTAGTGCGAACATGCCTTCTATACCTCAACCTCCAAAGAAAGGGAAACCAAAAGCTGTTAATAAGGAATTCTTAAAGTATTTGGAACAAATTGGTTGTGCTAATCAGATCACAGAGTTGGATAAGTACATTGCTGAACAACTTGAGAATGGAGGTGAGGATGATGAGTTTGATATACTTAATTGGTGGAAAACAAATGCTCATAGACTTCCAATCCTTTCAAGCTTGGCTCGTGATGTAATGGCTATACCTATTTCCACTGTTGCATCTGAATCAGCGTTCAGCACGGGTGGTCGAGTTCTTGATAGTTATAGGAGTTCTTTAACTCCTAGAGTTGTACAAGCTCTCATTTGTGCTCAAGATTGGCTAAGGAATGAAGCTGAATACTCAATTGATGGTGAAATTGAGTATGAAACTGGAGAGATTGATAAAGTTGACTTGGGTACATTCTAAATTCTTTCTTTACTTTTTATTTTTTGTGTTCAAATATTCAAGTTATAAACTTATAATTTCTTATTCATCTTTATCTAATTATTTTAAATTATTTGATGTGATTTTAGAATTTTCAAAGATTAGTTTGGAGCCCGTGATTGATCAATAGAAGGTGGAAGAGTTCTACACTTCTACTTATTAAGGACTTAAGGTATCATGCTCACTTGATAGTTGATATTAATAATACTAATTGTTTTATTATATGAATTGTAATAATACTAATAGTTTTATTATATTTCATTTGATAGGGTTGAATGAATTGAAGATTTGAAGGAATTGAAGTTGCACTTTGGCAGAATGTTCTATGAAACTATCTATGTTTAATATCTTTATATATTACTAGTTGTGGACTATTGGACTGTTGGTGACTTGGTGTTGGATTATTTCAATATGTTGTTTGAGACTTTGGTTTAAAACTTTGGATTTATATTAGTTTGGGACTATTTCTGTTGGATTTATATTGTTTGTAACTTTGGCCTTTGAGCATTGCCTCGGGCAGACAGCAGACTAGCAGTATGAATATGTTGATTTTTAATTTTCAGTTTTGGAATTTGATTTTTTCTTGTCTTGTTCGGTTTTTTGGTAACCGACCGAAACCGACCGAAAACCGACGGTCGGTTATCGGTCGGTCATAAGGCCACCTTCGGTCGGTTTCGGTCGGTTACGAAGGTCAAAAAGCACTGTCGGTATTTCGGTTTTTCGGTCGGTTATGTAACCGACCGACCATTTGCTCACCCCTACCAGGAGGCCGGTGTGGTGAAACAATGTTTAACGAGGTATGAGAAGCTATATCGTCAATTGGTCAATTATCACAAGTCAAATATTTGCTTTAGCCCTGGAGTGCGTAAGGGAGGAAGTGGCGTGATGCTTGGGGGTGGAACAGGCCCCAAACTTTGGAAAATATCTGGGTCTGCCTTCGTTTGTGGGAAGGAATAAAAAGGTTGTTTTCTCTTATGTGGAAGACAAAATTAGACAGAGAATTAATTCTTGGAATAAAAAGTTGCTCTCTCAGGCTGGTAAGGAAGTACTTTTGAAAAGTGTGACTTAATCTATGCCTACATTTTCAATGAGTGTTTTTATTCTCCCTAAGTCAGTTTGCTTGTCTATTCAGATAACAATGAACAGACATTGGTGGGGTAAAGTCACTGATAGGGGAATCCACTGGAAAGCATGGGACAAGTTGTGTATCCCTAAGAAGTTTAGGGAATTGGGCTTCAAAGATCTACGAGCTTTTAACCTAGCTATGTCGGGGAAACAAGCCTGGTGGTTTCTCACTGATCCTGGATCCCTAGCAACAAGGATATAAAAGGCTCGGTACTATCATAAAACCTCGTTTGTCTATGTGACAGTGGGACACAGCCCGAGTTTTTGTTGGCGGAGTATAATGGCGGCACATGGCCATGTTTGTGCTGGGGCACGTAGAAGAATTGGGAATGGTAGAACGACACAAATTTGGGGGCACCCTTGGTTGCAAGATAACCCCAGTCCTGTAACACCCCGTGTTACGACCCCTAAGATCAATTAAATCATTTAATCAATTACCCAAAAGAAAGAATTAAATCACAGTAATTAATTAGGAAGGCCCACCATAGTCCACGGGCCCTTACCCCTAAACCCAATTCTTAGTCCCAAAAGAAATAGAACTAGCAAGCACATAATATTAGTTCCTAACTAGGACACCTAAATATATAAATAGGAGACTTAAGAGGCACCTAGAAACCCCCACAAGAATAACGCCCCACCTCCCCGATCGAAGAGCTCCAAGAATCCCCCTAGAAGAAATCAAGAAAGCAAGAAAGCTTAAAGAAAGACCCTTCATAGCCAAGGAATTAATTAAGGCTAAGAGGTAACCCATGTCTCAACAAAACCTATTTTCATAGCTATGATTTCCCCCATAGGATTTCCCCGTATTATTGTGTATTGGTGACTTGTGATATTATTATTGATGATTGATGGGATAATTCCATGGGTGATCTTGATATTGGGAGATTCTTGATAATTATGGTGTTCTTGATAATTATGGTGTTCTTGATGATTATATATCGTTCTTGATTATTGTATGGCATTCTTAATGCTTATGTGTTATTTGTACCGAATCTTGTAATTAGAAGACGAACCGCATTCTTGTTGATATAAAAGTGATTAGAACCCTAGGTTGTATCGTATGATCTTATTCTTGGTTTATCGGGTGGGGAAATCGCATGTTTGGGTGTTGATTATATTTAGAAAAGCATGATAGGTTATGTGCCGTTCGTTTCTTGTATTTGATTCGTTAATTGTCTACGTGTTGCCGTTAGTTACAGTTATAAAGTGTCTAAGCATGGTTTCGGGTTCCACAATGGTTCCCGGGGCGAAAGTGTGTGATAAGAGTCAGTGGGGGGTAGTGGGGGGTAGGGGACCCGCCACCTACCCACGGCCGGAAAACACATCTCCGGCAGCGGGCGGCCGGCGGGCGGGCAGCTGCCCGCCGGCGACCCGCTGCCCGGAACAGTAATACCCGGCGGGCAGCCGGCGGGTGGCCCCCCACCCACCGGCTACCCGCTGGAAAATCATCCCCCTCGGGATCTCGGCTTCCCCGTTTGATGTTTCCCCGTCCCCCGTGGTGTCCCAACGGACTCCGTTAATCGTGCCTTTGTCTAGTTTGACATTTCGGGTACCGTTCGTAGGTTTATGAGTCTATTATATTGCATGCTAGTCTACTCCCGAAACAAGGAAGAACACGAAAGACACCTCCGCATAACCCTGCAAACCCTAAGAGAGCATCAACTATACGCCAAGTTCTCTAAATGTGAATTTTGGAAGGACAACGTGGCCTTCCTGGGTCACGTGATAACCAAGGAAGGGATTAAGGTGGACCCCGCCAAGATCCGTGCCGTTAAAGAATGGACCACACCAAGCTCACTCACCGAAGTCCGAAGCTTCCTAGGCTTGGCGGGCTACTACAGGAGATTTGTACCCGACTTCACCAGGATAGCCCAACCCCTCAACAAACTCATGAAAAAGGAAACCCCCTTCCAATGGGACAACGACTGCGTCTCGGCCTTTCAAGAATTGAAGGATAAGTTAACCACGGCACCCGTACTCGCCATCCCCTCCGGGGAGGAAGGATTCGAGGTCTTCAGTGACGCATCCAAGAAGGGGTTGGGGTGCGTGCTAATGCAAAAAGGCCGAGTAATAGCCTACGCATCCAGGCAGCTCAAAACCCATGAGGAAAACTACCCCACCCACGACCTCGAGCTAGCCGCCATCGTGTTCGCACTAAAAATTTGGAGGCATTACTTGTACGGGGTGCAATGCAAGATTTACACGGACCATAAGAGCCTAAAGTACATCTTCACCCAAAAAGACCTAAACATGAGACAACGGAGGTGGTTAGAACTCATAAAGGATTACGACCTGGACATCCAATACCACGAGGGAAAAGCTAACGTGGTGGCAGATGCACTAAGCAGGAAGACTAACCACTCCCTCAACACCACTTGGGTCCTACCGGACCAACTGTACAGGGATTTCCAAAGACTGAATTTGGAAATAATAAAACAAGGTCAAAACCACCCCGGCACCCACATATTCAACACATGAGTCGTGCCTACGTTCTTCGAAGAAATCAAAATAGGGCAACAGCAGGATCCGGAACTAGATAAATCCGCCTTGACCTAACCCAGGGGAAGGAAGGACCCTTCAAAATACACGAAGACGGCAGTCTCCGTTACCAAGGTAGGTGGTGCGTACCCTCGACGCACCCCCACTTGAAGCAACAAATCCTGGAGGAAGGACACAACACCCCATACTCGATTCACCCAGGGGGTGACAAACTATACCAAGATGTAAAAAGGTCGTTTTGGTGGCCCAACATGAAAAAGGAAATCGCGAATTTCGTGGCCAGGTGTCTGAATTGCCAAAGGGTGAAGGCCGAACGATGCAAGCCCAAGGGACTCGTACAACCCCTTGAGATACCACAAGGAAAGTGGGATTCCATATCCATGGATTTCGTCGGGAGACTACCCCCAACAAAGACCGGCAAGGATAAGATTTGGGTCATAGTGGACCGACTAACCAAAACAGCACGATTCATCGCCATGAAGGAAACGTGGACAATGACACAACTGGCCCAAGCTTACTTGAGCCGAGTAGTGAAGTATCACGGAGTCCCCCGTAACATCGTATCCGATAGGGACTCCAGGTTCCTCTCGCAATTCTGGAAATCACTGCAAATAGCCTTGGGTACACAACTAAAACTAAGCACTGCTTTCCACCCCACCACGGACGGCCAAACCGAGAGGACCATTCAGACCCTCGAAGACATGCTAAGAGCCTGCGTGTTGGACTTTCAAGGGACATGGGAGGAACACCTAGACCTCATTGAATTCTCGTACAACAACAGCTACCACGCGAGCATTCGCATGGCACCCTACGAAGCTCTATACGGACAAAAGTGCAGAACCCCCTTATGTTGGGAAAACATGGTCGACCCAATATCACTAGGGCCCCAACACCTACAGGACACAATCACCAAGGTCAAACACATCCGGGAAAGGATGAAAGCTGCCCAGGACCGCCAAAAGTCCTATGCCGACCTAAAGAGGAAACAAGCCGAGTTCAACACCGGGGACAAAGTCTGGTTAAGAATCTCGCCCACACGAGGGGTAATGAGATTCGGAAAGAAAGGAAAGCTCAGCCCTCGATTTATCGGCCCCTATGAGATCATAGAAAAAGTTGGGAACCTAGCCTATCGCCTCGCCCTACCCGTCGAACTAGAACGAGTACACAACGTATTCCACATATCCCAACTAAAGAAATACGTACACGACCC